AGGGTAAAAGTAAAGGTTAAATGAGTGTAACTTGTGTAACATTAGAGGGTAAAAGTAAAGGTTAAATGAGTGTAACTTGTGTAACATTAGAGGGTAAAAGTAAAGGTTAAATGAGTGTAACTTGTGTAACATTAGAGGGTAAAAGTAAAGGTTAAATGAGTGTAACTTGTGTAACATTAGAGGGTAAAAGTAAAGGTCAAAAAATGAATAACATAAATCTGAGTTCCACTATATTTAAATTTTTAAAAGGAGCAAATTTGCCGTCAAATGTTGCACCAATTCATCCAACATCAACAAATGTTGGCGAAATCGCTCCGGCATCGTATGAAAATGTTAATGGTGTAAAATACTCGAATATTCCTTTCTATGAAAATCCAAAAATTTCGAAAAAAGGAGAATCAAGCTCGAAAAAAGAAAAAAACGGTTTAGGAAAAGCAGGAAAAGTGGATGATTCGAATAGATTTTCCGTTTTGCGAGGACTGACAGAAGAAACCCAGCAGAAAATGTTTGCTAAAACTGAAACTAAGACAAAATTTGAAAAGAAATGTCAAGAAAATTGTAAAGAAGAGTGTGTTCAGGAAGGTAAGAGCAGAGCCTGCATTTAAAAAAAGTAGTTAATTAGGGGTAACCATAAACAAACCCCTGCCCAGTGGTTAAACAGAAATATGAGAAGCCAATTTTTAGGGGTGTAAGTTTAGAAAAGACTAAAAAATTCAAGTCCATGACCCAGAGACACGCACATCTCTAATTAATTAAATTAAAATTTTTAAGTTGTGATTGATACAACTCAACTTAGCACAAAACAGAAGAGGTTATTAATTAAATTTTTAAATAAAAATTAACAAAATATTCAGTGGTGCTATCAAAAAGCCCAACAGGAAATTATTACAAGCAAATCCACCTACTGTAGCTGCAACAACAGATAATTTGCCAAATTTTAGTGATCAAACCGACACTTGTTGTTGCTGCTGTCCTAGCTGGATTAGAGTTGTTGTCGTTGGGGCACTTGTTCTTCCTGGATTAATCTTAAATAATATTGGAAACGTTTTGGACTGCAAAATAGGTAATCTTATTACAGTCTGGATTACTATAAGTTGCTTTTGACGACGAAAATTGTGAGGAATAAAGACAGCGACTAACAACTAGTGATGATCGTGAGTTAAAAAACCCGAGAGTCGAGACCGAGACCGGGAATCAACCCCGAGACCGTTCGGCCGAGAGTCGAAACCAAGAGATTAGGCGGTAGCGATTAAATACAAATATATTGCTAAAGCATAAGCTTGTTGACGTTGGAATATTGTTAACCGACTTTTGCAAACCACACTTGCGGACCCGACATTTTTATTTAAAAAATTTCGATAAAAGTGTTCCTTCGCATTTAAAATTTAAATTAAAACAGCACCCGACTTTGGAATCAATGAAATTTTGCCATCATGCGTCAAAATAAATGACGTCATCAGTTGCAATTCCAATTATCCCTTGTGGGTCCATTCAAAGGATTTTGCCAAACATTTTTATAAAAATGAAACTTTTGGATTGTATTGCCCAATTGGAGCGAATAATTCGATGGACAAAGTTGCCGAAGCTGTTGTTACTCTTGTTAGGGATGGTTACAGAAACAAATGGACACTTACTTTTGTTCAGAAAAATGTCACCAATGATACAAAATGAGGGAGAAGAAGTGTTTGAAATGATGAGATTATTAAAGACAAAACACCCAACATTGTACTAAATGTATTTTTGTATACAGGCGACTCTCGATATAGCAAGCCAAAAGTGAGAAGGATTCGTTAAATTGAGTAGATATAAATCGAGAGTTGTATGATTTTCTGTAGTAACCAGTGTTCGGCACAGTTCGGTACTACCGCGGTTTAATCCAGTTATCTATCCATATCCCCTAATATCCCGCTCCTCGTTTCATCGATATCCTCCAATCCCCTGATATCCCACTTAATCCTTGATCCACGGATATCCTCGAATCCCTGCTATCCTTACAAATACACCATATCCTCCTTAATCCTTTTTTAAACTCGATATCCTTCAAAACTTTTGACTAATTAATTGTTTCGAAGTATACTCATCTCCTAGATTTAATGCTGTGTCAAATACATTCAATAAAAATGCTTAAACAATGATATTATCAGATATTTGTCATTTTACATTAGTATCGAAGTACCGCGGTACTACCGAAAATTTTTCGTCGGTGCTTTTCAATACCAGTATTTTTCGGTACTACTGGTAATGGTATTGGGAAAATCCATTTGCCGAACACTAGTTGTAACGCATCACCAACCTACTATAGTTAGCATTATTCTAAATGCTTGAACAATGGATTTATTTATATTTAATCAACATTTCACTAGATTTTGATAAATATTTATTAATCTGGCATAACAAAATTTCTTTTCGAGATCAGTTTTAGCAAATTTTAAGGCAAATTTTATATGAAAAATCAAATATAAATCTAACATGTGTTTAGATATAATTTGTAAATAAATTTATTCTGACCCCTTTTGTCTAAATTACATATCTATTGACAAGAGTAAGTATATTCATGTTAGTATATTCATTCTTATAAGTGAAATCATTATAATTTATTCTAGCAGCGGATATCTGCAAAAGCGAAACGATATACCGATCATTCGAATATATCATTCCTGGATAGGTAAAATCAAAGCAGTCAAATAAAATGAATCAAATAAACAGATGAATCAAATAAACGGCCCTATCTGAAAAAGGGTTCGATTCCACTTGTTTCACTCGTTCGATTCCACTTGTTCCTCGTTCGATTCCACTTGTTTCACCTGAGGCATATTCAAATGAAAGGACAGACAAAGCACACACACACTGACAGACAAAACACGAGTTTTTTCTGTCCGAGTCCGCCAGTGTTTTGTTTGTCTGTGTTTTGTGTCACCGTGTGCATCCGTGTTTTGTCTGTCCATGTCCCTCGTGTTCGTCCGTGTTTTGTCTGTCTGTGTCAGTCCGTATTTTGTCTGTCTGTGTCTGTCCGTGTTTGTCTGTACGAGTCCGTCCGTATTTTGTCTGTCCGTGTCCGTCCGTGGTCGGTCTTTTCTTCCTCTTTGAATCCGTCCATGTTGTTGTTGTGTATGGGCGTCAGCCCTTAAAGTGATTAGTATAAAAGCCCAGCCAATAGTTAGTTCTGAGTCTCAGTTTTAGTTCTTCTTCATACCCCAACCTTCGCCTGCTTTGTATTTCTTTGTGCAATAAACGTTTCTGTTAGCTTCCTCTACGTAACCGGGGTCGTAACAGATTTGGCGCGGTCGTGTTCAAAAAGAACCTGGTCTCGACAACAGTCTCGTCAACTTCAGTGAGTGCTCGTCAACGTAAGCTGTGTGCAGTTCAGAAAAAGAAAATCTGTGTGGACAATTGTAGTGTAGTAAAACCAAAAAGGTTAGTGAAATTGTAGTGTAAAGTGTAGTGATAAAAAGTTTATTTTTTAGTGAGTGCAAAATGGATGCAAAAACAGTGGAGAAATTGTTGAAGGCTCAGCAAGAGCACTTTGAGAAAATGTTAGTGAGGCTCTTGAAGCCGAGTGAGTGGAACGACACCGAATTGTACAGCAAATTAGTTGGGATGATTGGTGAGTTCGTTTTTGATTTGACGAGTGGTATGACCTTTGAGTCATGGTTGGGCAGGCATCGGTCCTATTTTGAGGTGGAGGGTAAAACCCTGCCAGAATCCTCTAAAGTGAGATTGTTGTTGAGTAAATTGGGGCCAGAAGAGTATGCCCAAATTGAAAGGAAAATGCTGCCAACCAAGTTGAGTGAAATGAAGTTTGACGAACTCTGTAGTGAGTTAGTGAAAGAGTTTAGTGATCATAGGTCCAAATTGTTGAAAAGGTTCGAGGCCTTAAATGTTAAGTGTAGTGACCTCCAAGATATTGTTGAGTTTGGGAGTGTAGTGAATGCTCAATGTGAGCGTGCAGAAATGGCCTTGTCGATTGAAGAATTGAAAATTCTTATTTTTATTTCAGGTTTGCCTAGTGATGCTACCTCAGTTCGACAAGTCGCAATGAAAAGTGTTGAAAGTAAAAGTGAAAGAGGACAGGCAGTAACCTTGAAAGAAATTATTGAAGAGTGTCGGGCATATTTGGCAAATAAAAGTGAAGCCATGTATATTGTCAAGGAGAAAATTAGTGAAGTAAAAAAAGAAGTGCCGACAGTCAACACAGTGGAAAAAGTGAAATATTGTGAAAAGAGTGAAAGTGAAATTGGAAGTGAGTACAAAAAACAGTGGTCCAAACCAAACGTCAAGTATCAACAAAATGTTATTGAGAAAAAGTGCAGTCATTGTGGACGTTTTGGTCACTGGCGTATGCATTGTAAGTTCTTGAAGAATAATCAGTATCAGCCAAAAAGGCAGTGGAGTAATGATAATAATCATTCAGGTTCTCCATATTGTGCAATTCTGGACATCTTCGATCCAATGCAAAGTGTGGAAAAAGAAGAGTGGATAAAGCAAAAAGTGAAGTTTGGAGAACTTAGTGTAGAAATGATTGTAGACACTGCATCGCAGATCAATGTTGTCACCAGTGAAGTGTGGAAAAGTATTGGACAGCCAACAATTGAAAAAGTGAATTACAGTGGTGTTGGGCTGGGTGACAACAAAGTTGAAATTGAAGGAAAATTCAGAAGCAAAGTGAGAGTGAAAGACAAAGACGTCTTTATGGAGTTCCATCTAGTGCATAGTGAAGTGTGTATCTTAGGGTTGCCTGGATTGAAAGAAGTGTCAAGTCGGAACCAAAAGCCCAAGTACCAAAAGTGGAATAAAAAGAAGGCACCATTCAAGATACAGAAAAATGCTTTTCCGAACGGCACAAAAGTGAAAGTGAAGAATACCAATAAAAGAAGTGGTAAAATCGAGTGGCTTCATGGAGAAGTAGTGAGAAAGACGGAAAATGCATGGAAAATCAAAGTGTCAGAGTTGAAGATTATTGTGACCCGGACATTTAAAGAGATCCGTCGAGATGAGTGGAACAATAAAAAGAAATTGTTGAGTGAAGATATTCGGAATATGAATATTAGTGAAGAAAAAGTGTCCAGTGAAAGCAGTGTAACTTCATCGAGTGATAGCAGTGTGGACAACTCCAAGAGGATCAAGTCAAAGATGAAGGACAAAAGCGGGAACAATCCAAATATGAAAGATGTTGAAGACGATAATAATATGGAGACATAGATGAGCCACATATATAAAATTTTGTGATAATATTGTTGTTGTATATTTTTTTTGTAATGTTGTATGTATTTTTTGTTCCCATTGTCCTTATTCCCCCAAAATTATTGTATGTATTTTTTGTTTGTTGTTTGGCTGGAAAGTGTTAGTATATTGTAAAGCTTCGGCTTTAAGTGAAGCCGAACCTTTTTTTTAAGGGGGGAGGTGTTGTGTATGGGCGTCAGCCCTTAAAGTGATTAGTATAAAAGCCCAGCCAATAGTTAGTTCTGAGTCTCAGTTTTAGTTCTTCTTCATACCCCAACCTTCGCCTGCTTTGTATTTCTTTGTGCAATAAACGTTTCTGTTAGCTTCCTCTACGTAACCGGGGTCGTAACAGTTGTCTGTCCTCTTATTTGAATATGCCACAGGTAAAAAGAGTGGAATTGAACGAGGAAGAAAAGACTGACCATTATTTATATATTGAGGTAAGAAAAAAATGATGAAAAAAATCAAAGCGCCCTTTCAGATAGGGTCAAATAAACTATTTGATCGATTATATCGACCCGCCTTCGTCACCATCTGCACTACGTGCCATATAATCATTGGATTTTTTGGGCGCAATCAATTGCAGTTCCAAATGCTACCAATTACTTGCCATTGTAATGAGCCGTTCGCGGTTTCTCGTTAAAACGATTAAACTTATACATGCATGGCTTAATCTTTGAAATAAACACATCAGTTCAGGCAGGATCAACCAGATATCTTTTATTTAGGTAATTAGCAGAGCTGGAATTACCGAGGCTGCTGGCTATTAAGTTCTCATTAATGATGATTACATTAATAATTTTAGAGTCAAAATCCCGAAAATAAAATCTGAAAATAAAAGATTATTGACAGCTAATAAAATAATAAACTCCTTTGCAAAAGACATCTTAATAATTAATTATAATTATAGATTCACAAGTTATTATCGGCAAAATTCCTGACAATTGCCAGGAGCCAAATGTATTTCAGCGAGAATCAACAGAATGACAATAAAGTTTACAATAATTATGAACTTAAAATTTTTCAGAAAAATTTTGTTCATCCTACTGTTCCTCTCCACACGTATCTTAGACTTGCCCATTTTTTGTTTGCTTTAAAGCTTTCTCGCGAACAGCGAACATCGAATAGCCGGTGTACGGAATTTTCGTCTCTGGAACATTCGTCTCCAAGACTTTTCGGAACTTCCGTCTCCAACATTTTCGGAATTTTCGTCTCCAGCGGAATATTCGTCACCAAGGAAATAAACGGAATTTTCGTCTCCGCAATTTTCGTCTCCGTTAGGAATTTTCGTCTCCAGAGGAAAACTTTCCCCGTTGACGGGCAACTTCCCCCGTTGCCGGAACACTATACCCCGTTGACGGAACAACTTTCCCCGTTAATGGAAAACTATCCCCCGCTGACGGGGATGTTGTTCCGGCAACGGGATCAGTTGTTCCGCGCACTGGATTGAATGCGCCAAAGGCGATTTCAAAACCTCTAAAAAGAGGCTGAGTCGAATGACATGTAATTTGTCCCAATCAGAGTGTTTAGTATTCCGAAATTAACGCTTCATTGTGATATTATTACTGGGAATATTTTACTTTTATTGCCAGGACGAGAGGAAATTGAAAAAGCATGCATTAAAATTAAAAGAAAAATTGAAAATATTGGGAAAGAATTAAGAGATCTTGTTTGTCTACCGCTATACACGAATTTATACTTTAACAATCAAAAGATAAGTGTTTGTGTTTGAAACGCCAGAGTATGACAACCAAAGTGGCATACATAAACCGAAAATGCATAGTATCATTAAATATTGCGGAAACTTCAGAGACAAGATCCGACTTTGCAGATTAGCTTTAATGTAAAATTCAAGATTAAATCTAGATATAAATTAGAGGTCGGAACGGTATCGGGACCTGGTCCCGTTTCCCGGTTTCCCGGTCCTTTTTCCCGGCTTTTTTGAAAACGCCGGGATGAGACCGGGATCGGGAATTCCCGGGTTTCCCGGTCCAGGTCATGGCCGGTTAATTTTCATTTTGCGTACCCGTTCCCGATCCCGGCTTTTTTGGACCGGGAAAAATTTTAACAGCTAATTTTAGATATCTTTGCTTGACGTTTTGATTTTTGACTTAAAAATATTGGAGATTTTAGAAAAATTCTTAAAATTTTCGCCTGCGGCGCTGAAGACGGAAGAAATTTGGCTGTTTGGCCTTCCAAAATTCTCAAAATTTTCGCGGAAGAATTTGGAACGGAGAAATTTGGAGGTATTATTGGAGGAAATGTTGAGGGAAATTAATATCTATTTTGATTTTATCAAGGGACCTGGTGATTAAGCCATCATTATCCCTCTAAATCCATTAGATCTGCCTTAATCATTTGATATCATTTCCTTCCAATTGAAGGGATTTGAATATATATCAGGTGATATAGGTATAATATCCCACAATTATTATTTAGCCTCTCAAATCCCTTTAGCCCTACGTAATCCGCTTTATGTTTTAATTTATTGAATTTACATTTGATTTATTGATTTATTTTACTGATTTATTAAATTCTTCTATTTATAAATTAGATTTTTCAATAAATAACTATTCCGATAACTTTTTAAAATTTTTAAATGAATTTAAAATTTTTTTAATTTCCCGGTTTCCCGGTCCGGGTCCTGGTCATTTTTGACCGGGATGAAACCGGGAACGGGAATTCCCTATTTTACCGGTCCGGGTCCCTCCCGGTCGTCCTTCAGAACCCGTTTCCCGGTCCCGGTTTTTTCAAAATTCCGACCTTTAATATAAATCTAATCTCTCCTGTTCCATCCAAATTGGTGATATCCCCTTAATAGTCCATATTTCCTCGAATTACTTTAATTTTAACAAAATTAATATATTCAAATTCCCTCATGTCACCGTTACCTCTCTGGGTCAAGCCCAAATCCCTCGATCAAGCCCAGATCAAAGCTTCCTCTATTAACGCCAGAGGCAAAAATTTTGAGGATTTTGGAAAGCCAATGAGCCAGATTTTTTCTTATTTCAGCGCCTCTGCCCAAAATTTTGGGGAACTCTTTAGTCGGAAATAGCATATGAAAATTATCGGAAATCGAAAAATCTTTCCAAAATTTCGGAACTCGGAAATCTTAAAAAAATCGGAAACCCGATTCGATGCTTCTCCCCATTAGTTCTTTGTATATTTAGCGCCTTCTCATTTATCATAATTTCTTACATTTTTTTCATTATTTCATCATTTCCACTTTCATCATAATTTCTTCATCATTTCCTGTCATCCTTCTGGGTACCATAAGTCGAAACAGACTTTGTCCATCAATTTTCATAAAATAATAAATCCATAAAATAATATAATATATTTTTAAAATTTAAAATTAAATAAATTAAACGTAAAAATTGAGTAGAGGAATTTGAAATTAGACGATTCGTCCGATCTCTAAATTTGACCTTTTCTAGCTTTGTTTACTTTTTTATATTAGACATTTGTTTCTTTGCACTTTAATATGTATTGCACTCTATAAAATTTAAAGGGAAAATGTCAAAATTACAGGAAATCAAAAGGGCAAACTTACAAAATCTATTTTGTAAAGGGCAAATTTAACCGACATTTATGTCCACGTGACCGTCATATTATTTAAATTTCATAATATTATTTACTTTTTTATTTTCATTAAAATTTATTTAAAAGCCGATTATTTACTTCATTAAACATGCAATTTCATTAAAAAAATTTTTTTTTAATAATTTTTCTTGAGCCATATGAAGTTAAAAATACCCTTCCTTTTATTTCTTTGGCTGATTGTTGGAGGGATTGAAGGTAGGTATTTTAAGAAAGCGATGTCCTTTCAAAAGGAAATTGTCTGAAAATCACAAGGACCCAAAAAGGGCAAATTTTAATATCCGGTTTGTAAAGTGCAAATTTAAATTACACTCATGAGCTTGTGACCGGCAATAAAAATTTCCTAATAAAATTATTTACTTTTTTGTATTCTTTATTAATAAAATTTGTTTAAAAGACTTTATTTTTTACCCAATCATTCATTGTTTTATTTTTAGAATTTTTTTAGAGTAAATTTTCTTGACGTCTAAATTAAATTAAGTTAAAATTTTGCTCTTGTCCAGTTTAAGCGTCCAATCGCACCTTTATACGTCCAAACGAATTTCTGCGTCCAATCAACTTTTATGCATCCAATCACACTTTTTAAGTACCCTGTTCTATGTGTTAAAACCTACGGTCTGGTAATATGCGTGTGTATTATAACTCTGAATAAGTAAGCTTTCTATTTCCATAGATTTTACGGAAATTTAGTGTAAAATTGGGTACTTAAAAAATGTGATTGGACGCATAAACTTTTTATTGGACGTATAAAGGTGCGATTGGACGCTTAAACTGGACAAGAGCCTAAATTTCTTTAGAATGAAGTTAAAAATATTTTTTATTTTATTTCTTTGTTTGATTTCTCAGGGGATTGAAGGTGAGAATTTTAGTGTTACTATTTTAAAGTGTCAATTACAAACATTGTTTAAAGGAGCGAATTTGCCGTCAAGTGTTGCTCCAATTCAACCAGCAACAAATGTTGGGGAAATAGCTCCGGCATCGTATGAAAATGCTAATGGTGTAAAATACCCGAATGTTCCTTTCTATGGAAATCCAAAACATTTGAAAAAAGAGAAAGTCGATGGTTTAGGAAAGGTGGATACTTCAAATAGATTTTCTGTTTTGCAAGGACTGACAGAAGAAAACCAAGATAAAATGTTTGGTAAATCTGAGATTAAGCCAAAAATTGAAGAGGAATGTGAAGAGGATTGTGAGGAAGAGTGTGTGGAGGAAGGTATTCAATGTTATATACGGCTCTCGCTTATCTCGAATAATTAATATTTTAAACAATAATATGATAAGGGTTCGGCATTCAAACACATGTTTTTCTTGTCTAAAAAGATGTGAGGAGATAAAATATCACTACAAAATTACGAAAAATGGCTCACTTTTACATTTTTCCCGGATTTTCAGACCCCTGAAAATCTAAAACCATAGGGGGAGTAAGCTGATTTGTGGGGTAAAAAATTCGATTATACAAGTGATACCTCATCTGATAGAGCCAAGCCGTTAATATTATTAATATAAACAAAATTTTAAAAAATTAAGTTGTGATTGATACTTCTCAGCTTAACACAAAACAGACAAGGTTATTAATTAAATTTAGCTAATATAAACATAAAATTCAACAGTTCTGCTATCAAAAAACCCAACAGGAAATTATTAGAATATGAAAGAGAGAGACCTTCTTATAAAGAAGATAGGCCAAATTTTAGTGATAGGACTAATACTTGTTGCTGCTGCTGTCCTAACTGGGTTAAAGTTATGGTTGTTGGTGCACTTACTCTTCCAGGATTGCTCTTCAATTATTCCGGAAACGTAATGGACTGCAAAATTTGTAAGTATTGGAGATCGACATTTTTGAAAAGCCTGGGCCTGTTCCTAGGTTCCGGGTTTGATTTATTAACCTGGCCTGCAGTCAGGAGAAACCCTGGCCCGGCAAAAACTCAGGAAAGTCAAAAAATGCCTGGGCCTGGACTCTGAGTACAGGAAAAACCCAGCTCTTGGTCCAGGCCCAGCTCGATCTCTAGTAAGTATAGTACAGTTAGACCCAGTTATAAGATAAATAAAAGTTATTTAAAACAGCCCCCGACTTTGGAATCAATCGAAATTTGCCATCATGCGTCAAAATAGATGACGTCATCAGTTGTAATTCTAATTATTTCTTGTGGGTTCATTCAAAGGATTTTCACAAACATTTTGATAAAAATGAAACTTTTGGATTATATTGCCCTATTGGAAAAAATAATTCAATGGAGGAAGTTGCTGAAGCTGTTGTTACTCGTGTTAAGGATAAAAGTAAAAGGAAATGGACTCTTACTTTTGTTCAGAAAAATTTTACCAAAAATGGAACTAAAGCTTGAAATGATGAGAATATTAACGACAAATTTCGAGTTTTGAAATAAATTGTATTTTTGTATAAATCCCAATATAAGAACACCGCTTTAACTGTAACTCGAGTTGGCGGTTCCGTATATCTTGAGCCTGAAAAAGTCAGGATATCTTAAATTTCGGTTTGGATACTGGGTGTCCCTTTTGACACATTTGGGAGGCATTTGCCCCCTTTTTGGCCTTCTCGCCCCATTTTTGCCCCTTTTTTGAAAGATCATGCCCCATTTTGATGATTTGTAAAGGGACACCAAGGTTGGATAAAAATTTGATATCCGAAGATTTTTCAAGAATCGCCGACTTTTTTCTATTTTTGCTTCAATTCTATATTTAATTTTACATTTAGTTTAGTCTAAAAATCCGATATTGTTGACCCTCGGATTTATTTTTATCTAATTGACATTTATTCCCACGATTTTGATAAAAATTATATTTAAACATTAATTTTTTATGATTTCTAAGGCAAATATGTAGTGGAGGAATTTGGTTGAAGTTAAGGTAGAAGAGGATTTGAAAAGTGATTTTTTGTTCATTTTCATCACCACCTTCACTTCGCTGGGTTATGATGGTCAGACTTTCCAACATTTCCCTCATATTTCTTATGATAGATGGAGATCAGCATCCGAAAAAGTCCTATATCTGGAAATCTTTGATTGGATATTGGAATATCTTAGGCAGATATAGGGTGAAATTCAAGGAGGAAATCTAAAGTTTATTCAAACTAATGATGCCCAAACGGAAATTTTCCATAATCCAAGACTCGAATCCAAGACTTGTGTAGTGGCCACTTGTATCCTCTTTAATCCCTCTAAATCACTATATCTCCCTTAATTACTCAAATCCTTTCGTATCCATTTTTAAACACCCAGATCCTCGATTCCTTCCAAATCCGTCGATATCCCTTCCACTCCCCCAAATCACCTGTCATCCATTTAATTCACCAAATCGAAGAAAACTGGGGCAAGTCTTTTCAAAAAAATTTTTGCTAAATCTTAGCGATTATTCTGAACTCTCATTTCCCACAACAAAGCTGTTTGCCTAATTTTAAATAAATTCCGTACTTTAGAGATTAGATAGTTTTTCCTGTAGACTCTTCAAAGTTTGTCTCTCCTGTTTCCCTTTAGCATTCAATCAGAGGATTAAATACAATTTTCCCAATTTTTTCATATATGTACAATTTTTCCTAAAAGAAAATAGGCAATGGGAATGAATTGAAACGAATTGACTATAAAATTAAGAATTCTCTTTTTCCAACATTTAATTACCTCTCATTTGTGTTTTAGATTCCCAAAAATTAATTTTAAATTATTTACTAACTTCTTATTTTTATGTTTTTATTTTGGCTGTACTTTAGCCGATGGGATGGATCGAAAGCCCTTCTAAATTTACCATTCGATGCGACTCGGCGAACTGAGTCGAATGGTACCACTCGGGTGGGGGCTAACTCGAGGAATTTTAAATCACGGAACAGACAGGTCGCGAAACAGACAACTCACGGAATTACCAAATCACGGAATATTCTAAAAATTATAATATTTTTAGAAATCATAATTTTTCAGCTTTTTTTTTAAATTCTGTTTTTTAAAATATTCTAATTTCTTGAAAAAGTCTTATTTTTTAAAAATATTCAGATTTTTCAAAAGATTCCAATTTTTAAATTATTCCGTGTTTTGGTCATTCCGTGTGTTTTTCTAGGATTATAAATTATTTTCCCCATTCCCTCTATCATTTAAAAATTTGTATTTACTAAGCAAAATTTGTTTATTTGAAAGAAAGAATGCCCGCCTCTTTTTTTAAAAAATCGACGTTCATTTTATGTAAATAGGCAATGAGAAAACGACGAATTTACTTACAAATACATCAAAAATTTCCTTTTTTAACTTTTATTTGCCACTCCCTTTTATTTGTTCATTTAAATGACCAACCTAAATTTTTCTACCTATTTTCTTATTTTTTTTTAAAAATTCCTCATTCCATTTCTTTTATTTTTTCATTCCTTTTCATTTTCTCATTTTTTTCTTTTTTTTTATTTTTTATTTATTCAACAAGATTTCATAGGAATTGCGATCCCTTACTGCCTGGGGTATTCTGTTCATAAACCACCCCCACCCCTATTTGAGTCTCAGATTGATTTTCCTTTTATTCTTTTCGGCCTCAGAAAGTAAATTTTCATCCTTAAAACAGTGATTATAACGTTAGATTGGATTTTTACCGCTCCTGTCTATTTTTTCCTTCATAGTAACTGCATTTTACTCATAATTTTTGAGGGAAATAAATGATTGCAAATAAGGAAGGAAATAAAACCAAGACTCAAATAGGGGTGGGGTGGTTTATGAACAATGTAAATACACTACCAGTCTAGATTTCGGTTCATTAACCCACTTAAACTTATGTTTTTCTTGTCAAAATGTGCTTAGATTAATTATCCGTGTCGGACTAACTAACGGAACGGACAATTCACGGAATGACCAAAACACGAAATAATTTTAAAATAGGAATTTTTTGAAAAATTTGAATATTTTTTAAAAATAAGACTTTTTAACAAATAAAAATATTAAAAAAACAGAATTAAAAAAATCTGAAAAATTCTGATTTCTAAAAATATTCTGATTTTTAAAATACTCCGTGTTTTGGCCATTCCGTGAGTTGTCTGTTCCGTGAGTTGGACTATTTTGATTCAGCATCCACCCAAATTATTCCTATAAATTACTCAAAAAATACTCCACTTTTGCTGATCTTTTATTTATCTCAATAAAACTTCCCTATTTTTAGACAATTAAAAATGTTTTCTCTTCCAAATCAAGCAAAACTTGACGTATTAAAATGTCTTAATTTTAATCAATTAACTTCTTTTAAACAAACAAATATTTACTTTTACAATTTAATCAACGAAAATGAGGAAGAATTGTGTTATCGAATGAAATTCAATAAACTTTCAATTGTAAATATTAACTTGCCTATTTATTCTAATAGAAAGGCCCCCATCTGAATGTGTGGGTGAGGCATCTCGAGACCTTTAGAATTATGAGAATTACTCGAATCTGAGGAAAACCAAGAAAGTTATGGCCCAAAATGTGCCCCAAATACTGAATCGAGGGTTGGGTCATAAGGGCGCGGGGCCATTAGGGCGCCAGCACTATAAACTGACACTTAGGCGAAACCGAAATTTATGAAAATTTTCTCAAATTTCTTTAACATCATCGACTACCTCCTCCAGAAATTTCAGAATTTTTCATCAAATATTTCTGAAGTTATAGTCGATAAACCGCGAAAAATTAGGGTTTTTTAGGAAAATCAACATTTTTGGCTACAATTTCCAAAATTCTTGATCAAAAATTCTGAAATTTTTGGAGAACGTAGATAAAGGCATGAGAGTTATTATTGCAAAATTTTATCTTTTTTGATAAGCAACTCATAATTTTATAAGCTCGCGCCCTAATGGCCAGTCCCCTGAATCGACGATAATGAACTGTCTCCCACACATTTAAAATGTGGGGCAATTCTATTGGAATATTAACTTTAAATTTCTTTAAAAAATTGAATTTTAGAATGATAATCTTCAAAAATTTGATTCGTATGAATTTCTTGAACCTGACCCTGAAGTTGTTGGATATATACTGCCAGCCTTTTTTAAGAAGAGGGTAAAAATTAAATTCTGCTTTTTCTATTTAAAAATCTGTCGTTTCATCCGCAAGTTGAAATGTTTAGCTTCTCTTGTAACCGTGGCTCGACCTCAGGGGATCAGACCTCAGGGGATCAGACAATTAGAGACCCGACATTTTTTCCACGTTCGGAGGAAGCCAGACAGGAATAGTGGAACAGGAATACCTTTGACTCCTCCTCCCCAATAGTCGGATCCACAAAAGTCCGCTCCCCAAATGTCGGGTAAT